TAAGAACGAGGAAACCGAGGCTGCAAGCAGTTAAGGAGCTTGCTCGAGGTGGCTCAGGGAGAGCCAGCATCATTTGACTAAGATCAGGGCTTCTCGCCTTTCACTTTGGCTGCCTATTTTCTCCGTTTCCTTAAAGATTTTTTTTTTAAAGTATCTATCTTGGGTGGGGGCTGTTGGAATAGGGGCCCAAGAGCCCTTCTGGCCAAGGGGACTGCACAGCGTGGGAGAGAAAACCCCCTTAGAAGCCTCTGGGAACTGGGTGCCTGGTGGCCGTCACGAAAGGGTTATCCCACACATTCGATGTTTGCAGAAATGTGGGTTCTTTCAGATTCCAAAACTCATTTCCATGACAAAACTCTTGGGAAGAGAAGATGAAGGCCTGGCTTTTGCAGAACAATCTTCCAGCTGTAATGAGGACTGAAGATGGCGATGGGAAAGGGAATTATAATTAGAATATGAAATGGGGAAAATTAATCTATTCCAGTCGGCGCTAAGAGGATGTTCTGGTGCTTCATGGAAATTCTTAGACCGATCTTCCCCTCTGCATTTTTCTTTTCACATTGGAAAGCATGCGGAAGGCTGGTGGCGTGGAGAGGTTTTGGCGGAGGGCTGATGAGTGGTGAGCTATGCACAGGATTTAAGCTCATGGGCACCTTTGCTTCATATGCCTCTACCTGCTCAAGCCGTACGTGTTTTGGTGCACATCCGTGTGCGTTATATCTACACGGCTGCACATGGTGTGTTTGCACACCCCTGGGCCTCCCCTCCTTCCCATGTGTGCATGCTGTGTATTGCGTACTCAGGCCCGTAAATGGTCTCTGTGTGCACACTCATGCTTGTGCTGTGGACACACCTTTCTGTGTTGGGTTGTGTAACCCACGGATGTGGTACACGCGTGACTAAGTGCTGTGTTGCACGCTGTATTCTGTGTGACATGGGCCCCCCCTGGTTTGTGGTGCATATGTGGTCACCATGCTTGGGCACGCTGTACACTTTGAGCATTCGCTGTGTGGTAGGGGTGGATGTGGGGTGTCCATCATGCCTGTGAGCACAGAGGCTGGCTGAGTGACATCTCCCCGTGGCCTGTAAGTTCTTTCTTTCAGAAAGGACCCTTCAGGAGGAAGGCTGAGGGGCAAGCCAGACCTCAGTGCCCTGAAGGCTAAGCTCAAAGCCTGGAAGCCCTTGGCATCTCCCTCTCTTTCTCTCCCCTTTCCTCCCCGCTCCACCCTAGGCAGAGTTGGACAGAGAACAGATGTCCCCCATCTCAGGACTCTGCTCATGGCTGCTCAGTAGCCAGGTCCGGAGCCCAGTGTGCTCCCAGCGCCCCTACCAGGCACTGGGGTAACCAACTGGGGGCTGACCCAGGCCCTGCCTTGAGAACCACCACCAACTCCTCAGGCCCCCTTAAAAGCAGGAAGCAGGCTCAACTCCCACATGTGGAGGGGACCAGTGAGTGAGTAAGCCCACTGGGGACAGACTCTGGTGATGTTGGGGACCCACTGCCCGGTCGCCTTCCTACTCCCAGCACACACATCACAGCCCAGGTCTCTCCTGCTCATGCCGTTCCCCTCTGCTACTGCAGAGCAGTCCTCCCTCCAAAACCACTAACGCATCCTCCTCAAACACCTAGCGTGTGCCAGGGCCAAACTGATCCTCGGGTACTCAGTGCGGGTGCGGCAAAGCGGGTCCCCGCTGCCAAGGAGCTCCCAGCCCAGAGAGCGAGCCGAAGAGGCAAACAGACCCTCAGGAGTCCAGCCGGTCCCCACCTGTGTCAGCAGCTGCTTATCTTTCCAGCCCGCTGCCTTGGTTTTCAACAGGGAAAGTAGTGCCTGCGGCTCTAGGTTGTTGCAAGGTTTGAATGAAACCTTTGACAGAAAGTATTTTCGGTGGTGGGTCCACTTGGCATTTGTTGCATGCCCACTGTGTGCATTGAGGGAGAAGGCACACAGGGCCCCTCCTTTCATGGTGGCATTTAACAAATGGGCCACAGCACGGGCCTTTGAAGTCTCCCTTTTGTCAAAGTGATAGATGGCTCTGGAGCTCCCTGCCCTGCCCGTTTCACAGTCCCATTCCTGCCGCCAGCCTGTGCGGGGGCTGGGGGACTTGGAGATGACCGGAACACTCGATGCTGCTCCCCCCACGAGCAGAAGACAGACGTGCAGACAATCCATGTTGTAAGTCAGAGGAGGTGACAGCATGGCAGACCGCCTGGAGGAGGTGGTCTCTGAGCGGGCCTGGAAGCATGAGCTCTATGTCCAATGTGTAGACGGAGCCGTGCATTTGGAGTCAGTGCCCAGATCCTAGGCATGGATGGCCTTTTCTTCAGCTAATTCAGCAGCCACGGAAGGATCTCTGCCTGTCCCTCTGCTGGCAGGCATTTGGGTGTATCCACCAATTCCACTGCCTTTGATGGGAGGACTATCCTAGTAAAGATAATGTGCTCCATCCATCCACCCATCCACTCCCCATCCACCCACCCACCCATCCATCCACCCACCCACCCATCCATCCACCTACCCACCACCCATCCATCCATCCATCCACCCACCCACCCATCCACCCACCCACCCATCCATCCACCACCCATCCATCCATCCACCCATCCATCCACCACCACCCATCCATCCATCCACCCATCCATCTACCCACCCACCCATCCATCCACCCATCCACCCATCCATCCATCCACCAATCCACCCATCCCCCCACCCATCCATTCACCCATCCACCCATCCATAAGCATTTATTGAGTATCTCCTGTGTGCTAGGCACTGTTTTAGGTGTCTGGGAGCCTCTATTTTAGTATATGTGTGTGTTTGGGGGGGCAGCTATAAGCAGTGAACTTGGTAAATTATTCAGATGCTACAAGACAAATGGGGCTATGGAGCAAAGAACAAGGAAGAGCAGGGCTGGTGGTGGTGGTGGTGGTGGTGGTGGAGGAGGAGGAGGAGGCTGGCCTCCGAGCCAACTGTGAGGAAAGCCTCTCGGACTGAAGTGGGTCGGGATGAACGGACACCTTGTGCCTGAGGGTGGGCGTGTGGGCTTTCACAGCCTCCATGAGAGCTGCTTGGCAAGGTTTATCGCCGTTACAAATGCGCACACAGCTGGACACAGCGGTTCCTCAGACTCTGCCTGCCGTGCACTCACACCCCTGCGGAGCGATGGATGCACAGACTATTCATAGAAACAACTCAATTGCCCATGTGCTCAGCTAGGTCCATGTCTATTTTATGTCCGTCCTGTGCAATACTAGGTACCAGAAGACAGAGTTCTGTGCTGATATATAAAACTTCCCAGCCTAGCCAGCATGGCTCAGTGATGGAGTGTCAGCTTATGAACCAGGAGGTTGCTGGTTTGATTCTTGGTCAGGGCACATGCCTGGGTTGTGGGCTTGATCCCACTGGGGGGCATACAGGAGGCAGCCAATCAGTGAGTCTCATCATTGATGTTTCTATCTCTCTATCCTCCCGCTTCCTCTCTCTCTCTAAAAAAAAAAAAAATCAATAAAAACATATTCCAAAAGAAAAAGAAGGCTTCCCAGATGTGTTGCTAGGAGAAACATAAGGTGCAAAACAGTGTGTATAACATGCTGTTGTGTGTGTGAAGGAAGCGACTATGAAATGTCTACACGCGGGCCATCCCCGGGAAGATAGAAAGGAAGCCGGTCGATGCAGCAATGCCCCTGGAGAGGGGCAAGGGGTGCCGGGCCGAGGGGTGGGAAGAGCGTTTTCACTCTGTTGCTTTTTGTCCTTTGGGAATTCTGAACCACGTGCCTATCACTAAGAAATAAAATAAAATGTTCAATGAAAATGGCCAGCTGCTGTTGGCACAGCCAGCCCCCATCTGTCGTGAGCGCTGGCTGCAAATGGCTCGCAGCTGGCACAGGTCTCTGGAGAGCGCTGCTCGGTCACACGGGGCCGTCCTGCTCAGAAGGCTATGCCTCCGCCTGTCTGCTGAGGGCAGCCCGCAGCCCGTGGTGCTACAAGAGGCCAGCCCCTTGCTTCCTGCCGGGACGAACTCGATGGTGCATTTCGTGCACAGAGCTCCCTGTGGGACCAGGCCACAGCGAGTCTCCAGCGGAGACCACATCCTTTGCTTTGCTCCTTGCACTGCCCTGTCCTCCCTCCCTCCCTCCCTCTACGGTTATTCCTAAAGGATACTTCTCCCAGACCACATGCATTTGAATGTTTGACCCAGGCTCTGCTTCTCGGGACAGGGTCCAAGGCACCTGTCTTAAGGGAAGGGAACTACCTCCTGGAACTGAGCCACGTGCTCTGCGGGTGTCAGTGCAGCACCCCAAGAAGAGGGGCTCTCGTCATCCCTGTTTGCTGAGTGAGGACCCTCAGAAGTCTGTCACCAGCTCAAGTGACACTCAGGGAAAAGGGCAGCCCATGGCCCCAAAACCCCTGGTTCTCCCACTGCACCGCTCCCTGATGCTCCGAGCTCCTCCTGGGTGCAGACCTGCCAGCTGCTCAGAACACAGGACTGTAATTCCTATATGTGGTGCCTACCACGGTCCTCACTGCCTCAACCGGCGGTGGCCTAGGGGTCAAATGAGAGGGGGCAGAGCACCTTAGGACGGTAAGACTTGGAGGGCACGTCTGGGCCAGGCTGTCCTGACACCAAAGCTCAACCTCCCTCCATCATGTGGAATTCCAACTCTCGCTGGTAGCCCGAGGTCATCTTGGCCAAGAGAGAGATTCCCATACTTCCAGAGATGGGGAGCTCAGCATCCGGCAAGGCAGGCTGCCACGTCTGTGGACAAGGTATGAAGAGCAGAGAGGTTCTCCTCGCTTCATCCTTCGTGTGCGGAGTGATGCTAACCCTCAGGAGCTGGGGCTGCTCCTCCACCCTGGAGGAATCCCTGCTGACATGGAAGCCCGGGCTCAGTCTTTGCTCCTCCCCACTCCGTGCATTCAGTCCCCGATCCCCTCTGGCTTCTTCTCCTGGGCCTTCTTGAGAACATTTTATTCATAGCTGCTTCTCTCTCTGTGTTCCAGTTTGATGGTGACAGTGCCTACGTGGGGATGAGTGACGGAAACCCAGAGCTTCTATCAACCAGCCAGGTGGGTGCCCCATCCTTTCTGAGTTGGGTGGGGGTGTAGCCTTGGGCTGGCTGCAGCCAAGCTGCTTCTGGAGTGGGAGGGGTACAGAGTGGGGGCCCACCACTGTCCTCTTTCAGAATAATTAAGAATATGAGTGGAATCCCCTTAAAGGGGATGATCAACCCAGGACTATAGTGTTTTCTGCAAATCACCTACTATTATTAAAAACTAGAGGCCTGGTGCATGAAATTTGTGCAATGTGGGGGAGGGTCGGCTCAGCCCAGCCTGTACCCTTTCCAATCCGGGACATCCCTCTCACAATCTGGGACCACTGGCTCCTAACTGCTTCCTGCCTGCTGGCCTGGTTGCCCCCAGCTCCCCCCCTCCCCTGCCAGCCTGGTCGCTCCTAACTGCCTCCACTGCTGGCCTGGTCACCCCCAACTGCCCCCCCCCACTGGCCTGGTCGCCTCTCACTGCCCCCCTCTGCCGGCCTGGTTGCCTCTCAATGCCCCCCTCTCAGCCTGCTGTTCAGTTGCCCCTCACTGCCCCTCCCCTTCCTCTCCCCCCCCCCCCCCCCCCATTGGCCTGGTCTCCACACACAGCCTGCTGTTCAGTTGTTTGGTCATCCCTCACTAACCCCCCTGCTGGCCTGGTCGCCCCATGCAGGCTGCTGTTCGGCCGTTACTGTGAGGGCACCCTGACCAATTTGCATATACCTCTTTTATTTGTATAGATTGGATAAAACTCAAAACGTGTTGTCCATATTCCCCATGCACAGAGGGGAAAATGTCAGCAGCAGGGAACAGAGATGTCACATGTTGCCCGGTGCTGCTGGCCCCATGCCACCACACGGCACCCATGGGGGCACATGTTGGTGTGGAGGCGAACACCTCCTGCAAAGGCACATGGGCTTCTCCTGCTGGAAGCCGGTTTTCCACTGAGAGCCTGGTCTCTGAAAATTAAGGGTTTTCTTCAGCTGGGAGCATCCTCATACACTCTAATGCTGGGAGTCTCCTCCCCCCAGGCTGGGACTCCGGGGAGGGGCCTCACTGCAGGCTGTCTTGAGGAGGAGTAATCATTGTTATTAACCCTGTTCTATAGATCAGGCAACTGAGACTCAAGGTTGGTTGCTGACTCATCCTGGGAGCAGGGCAGCTGGCGGTTGAACCTGCAGGGCTGCAACTCAGCGCTGCACACATTTTTGCTGTGTACGTGCAGGGCTCCAGTCTCACCTCGAGGCTGCCACCAGCTTGTTTCAGCCTAACTGTCACTCTTTGCAGAGCTCTTGTTGACTCCAAAGTCCAGATCAGGTCCCCTCTGCACAATTCTCTCTCATGGCACTGTGTCCTTTTAATTCATGACATCTGCCGCCATTTGTGGTTGTCTGCTTACTTGTGTAATGACGTGGCTAGCATCCGATTTCCACTCCAGACTGTGCCCTCCAGGAGGGCAGGATCTGGTCTCTCTTTTTCACTGCTGTGTCCTCCAGTGCAGCACAAAGCCTGTCAGATAGAAGGCCCTCAAGAGAGATCTGCATAATGAGTGAATGTGGCTCCTTCTTTGATCTGACTTTGGTTTTCCCAACAGTGGAATGAGGTGGTTGGACTCACAAGGTTCTTCCCAAGTCTCCTGAGCCATCACTCAGAGATTCTCCTTAACTTAGAACTTTGTAAAGAAGACACCAGTGTCCCCTGAGACTAAGTCCACCGGGTGGCATGAGCAACCTTGTTGGGAACAGATTTGGTGATTATAATATAGACTTCTTGTAGTGTACCAGTTAGCTTTTGCTGCATAACAAGCACCCCAAAACTTAGTTTCTTAAAACAATGAATATTTACCTACCTCATAAGTTCATGGGTTGGCGGTTTGGTTGGGTTCAGCGAGGTGGCTCTTCTGGTCATGGCTAGGATCATTTGAGTGACAGCAGGAAGCTGCCAGGTCAGCTATGAGCTGATTAGTATGAGGGACTCACTTCTACTCAGATGGTCTCTTGTCCTCTGGCAAGGTAGCCTGAGGTTGTTCATGAAAGATGAGACAGAGGGGCCGGAGACCAGGATGCCAGGACGCAGGCTTTATTGGTGGAGAATACTGCTGCTGGGCTGCCTTCCAAGGAGAAAGAGCACATGTACCCGGATGAACATGCCTTTTGAGGGAAGGAAAAGAAAGGGATGGGGCTTAGGGCACTCAGCACACACTGATTGATGGTTTCATGTAAGGCACATGATTAGGGACCTGGGAACTTAGGAATCAGGGGCTTAGGGTATTTGGTAGGTGCTGATTAGTGGTTCAGTGTGCAGTCCATATACGGTGCCTGGTCAGGAATGTTCGGACTGCAGGTGGAGTTTACGTCATTCTCCGTCCATCCGTTGGGGGAAGGGAGGACCTATCGGTTCCTGCAGTGGGAGAAGGGCTCCCAGGGCAGCAAGAGCAGAAGCTGCAGGGTCTCCTGAAGTCTGGGCATAGAACGGGCACATGACTACCTCCAGGGCATTCGATTGGTCAAAGCAAGTCACAGGGCCAGTCTAAATTCAAGGAATGGGGAAACGGACTCCACCTGATAATGGGAGGTGCTGCAAAGTATTGTGGTCTTTTCACAAACTAGCACGTGGGAAGCATGTGGCATGTGGTTCATGCCGTTTTGCTGAAGAATAACGGGCCCTTCTGGGACGTACAGCTCCCGGTGGCTTGGCTGTGCTCCACTGGCCTCTAGTTCTTAATGGCAAAAATTCTGTATATATCTCTCCAGTGTTTTCCCTGGAGGGCTTGCTTGAGCTCACACACGACATTTGCACACAGACATGCAATCACAGTGTGTTGCCTCATCCGCTGCAGGAAATGTGTTCTCTCCGCTGCTGAAGGATTGACATAAACATGTGGCAAAATGGAGGCCTTGTAGCCAGTAGAGGATCCAGAAGATAAACACTCTAAATGGCATAAAATGCAGTTTATAAACACAGTTAAATGCAATGTTTACCCATTTAGCAAATGTTTATTGGGCAGCTATTATGTGCAAAACTCTGGACATAAGCTGGAAGCCATTTCTGGGAGATGTTTGCTTTTAGAACATCCATTTTCATCATTTGAAAACCTGCTCTTTCCTGAAACCCCATCTTCTTTATTTAGAAACTGCAGCTGAGGCAGAGGTTCTGACAGGATATACATCAGCCAACTGTACCCTCCTTTAAAAACGTTCAAACCAGCTCTTCTGGGCTTGAAGTTTCTTTTGCAGATTCATGCTCCATTGTCTGGTTTTTGCCAGTCTCCACAAAATCCCTGCCTAGCAGCTTTAGCATTTATATATTACCACTTTCCCCTCCTCCCTGGAGCTTGCATTTCTTTTGTCCTGGACTTGCCTGGGTGGTCTGGGACCTGCTGCTGTTGTCAGGCACGGGTTCTGGCCCCTCAGCATCTTCCTGGCGTGAAGAGGGCCTGGAGAGGTCAGCTCTCCCCCAGCTGGGGGCAGACCCGGCCGGAGTTACTACGGGGTTCCTATTTCCTGGTTATGATCTGGGAGGTATAGAAAGAGGAAAGGAAGTGGCCTGGGATCTCAGCATCCCAGAAATCCCAGCTCTCCCACCGCCCAGCCAGGAGCCCTCACGTAAGTGAGCCAGCTTCCTGTGCCACGGGAAGAGCCACACCGCCTGAGGCTGCTGTGAGAGGTCCCTGAGGTGTGTGATGATTCTGCTGTGCCTTCACCAACCAGGTGCCGGCTCTCTAGAGAACTGGCCTCTGCTGCATGGGCTGTGGGACAGTCTGGAAACCTGGCCCCTTGTCTCAAGGGGAGACGAACTCTATAACCCTCCATGGAACTCCCGCTGAGAACGTCCTGGCTCAGCTCCTTCCCTGCTCCCCACTGCTCTCTCCCTTCCTTTCTTCTGAGTCACTTCTCAGTGAGTCACCGTCACAGCAGTTCCCGTGTCAGGCTCAGCGTCCAGGGACTCTAACCGAAGGCAGTATGTATAGTACCCGTGTTCCATAGCGCTAGAGAGGACTTATTTCTATTGTGCTTTATTTTATTTGTAACTTGATTTGCTGTCGTTTTTAATTATTTGAGGATGTGATTTTATTATTTTTTCATTAAAATGTTTTTTTTTCAATTACAGTTTACATGTCTGTTATTGTGCATTAGTTTCAAGTGTACAGCCTAGTGGTTGGACAGTCCTATACTTTACAAAGTATATTGTAAAGAAAATACTGTTATTTCCAGTACCCACCTGGCACCATGGGAAAGACATTTTTATGCCTCCAAGTCTTAGAAAAAATACTTTAAAATGTGACCATAAATTAATGAAAAACAACTTTTGCATGGCCTAAACAGTATATGTAAATCAAAAGACAAATGAAAAATTGGGCAAGAATATTTTCAACTCACAATATAGTCAGAGAACTAATTTCCCTAATATGTAAAAAGTCCTTAGAAATCAATTTAAAAAACCAGTAGAAAAACAGGCAGGAGATATGAACCAAGTGTTTACAGAAAAAGAAATACAAATGGATCTTAAATATATGAGATGCTGAAAACAATTTATAAGGGAAACAAATTAATCTTTTTTCCCCATCAGAGTGGCAAAAACCCAGAAGTTTGATAACATAACACACTCACTCTGCTGGAGCCCCTTGTGGGGAATCAGGCACTTACCACATAACGCAAGGGAAGTAGATGGTGTGACCTCTACGCAGGGCACATTGGCAACATCTATCAAAATTGCAAATGCATTAACCTTTCACCCAGCAATTCCCTTCTTGGAAATATATCCTACAGATATCTTTGCACACATGAGGAATGACATATTCAAGATTATTCATTTTGGTATTGTTAATTATGGCAAAAGATTGGAAACAACCCAATTTGCAATAAATATGGGACTAATTAAAGAAATTACGTACATCTGTCGAGTGGAATGCTGTGTGGCTGTCAGGAAGGAGGAGGAAATGGAAGTTGCTTAGATACATTATTTGCTGAGAAAAGCAAGGGTGAGGACAATAAGTACAGTATGCTACCACTTGTGTAGGAAAAGGGC